ATGTTCCATTTGTGTATGTTGGCTTTCTCTCAACTGTTGGATACTTTCTTCTTGTTTCTTTTCTTTTTCCTCCAACAACTGCTGTAATCTCTCTTTTTGTTTCATTTCTCGTTCTTCTCATTTCTTTTCTTTTTCCTCCAACAACTGCTGTAATCTCTCTTCTTGTTTCTTTTCTCGTTCTTCTTGTTTCTTTTGCTATTCTTGTATTGCTGCCATCAAATCTGCTAAGCTGTAGTTTGATTTGCCACTTCTTGTTTCCATCTTCTTTTTTTCGTCCCACTCTCTAACACCAATTTGTTATGTATCTGCTTGTTTGTTAATTTCCCGGTATAAATTCTTCCAGAGGAACTTCAGCGATACAAGTCCTTTCTTAAATAAAACTAGTTTATTCTTTCTCAATACATCTTTGAAATACACAGAATTTCCACAGTAACTTTAACTTCTGACCATGAGAAACCATTTGTACAGCACCTGACTTCCATATGACTTTGCTCCAATATAGTAAAAAACTACTTGAAGCAATTGCAACGCAATGCCGCATGGGCATACTTACTGCCTCAGGTCAAATAATCATAGTTTGCACTAACGTGTTTTAAATGCAACTTTTACCAGGACAGAAATGTTAAGAAACATTCAGCAAAACTACGCGTTTATGAAATATTAACTTGTACAATTAAAGATATTACATCAAAACCAAATAAAACATTAGATGCACCAATCTTTCTTTTGATATAACACATAAGTTACTGTCAGGAGCAGCTACTTTTCAACAACCAGTTTCACTCATTATCTTATGAATACTTCAATTTGATCCAAAGTATAAGCTCTTCTGTAACTTTAATCTATTCAGCAAAAAATCCATTACCTTACAAATATTTCAGTTTCCAAAACTAAACATATTCTATCAATGATGTTGCACAAGTCAATAACCATTGCTTCACTTCACATCACAATCTCAAAATTTGATTAAATCACTTTTTAACTCCTTTGTTACCTGAAAGTTACTTTCTCTGTGTATTTGATTCATTCACGAATGATTCATTTGTAATGACTGAATATGTGTGTATGCAACATCACACACACCCCTATATCCATAAAGATATATATGAGCATTATATATCATTATATATGCTTCTTTCATAAAATAGACCGTCCATTACGCATATATATAGTACTCATAGCAACCTGAACTGTCACAACTACCAGCTATTTTTCAATAGCTGTGATATCTATTACTGTACTGGCATATAGGACGGAATAAGCTTAATCTAGCTACATCACAGATTAAGAATAAGTGTTTTGTAACATGGGTACAGCTCACCTTTCCGCACTCTTAAATGCTCGTACAAGTGCCATAGATTGTGTATGTCCTAATTACATTCCTCTAACAAAAACAGCCGTGTTTCATCTTAATGTATGGTAAGTAGCACCCAAACTAGATCTTGATCTTACAGTTGTTATTCTCAAAATTCGTCAAGCGTCATTTGTGGAGTCCATCCTGTTAGATATACACGATTGTTTCATTTACATTTAATATCAGAGTTATGATTTAGATAGTTATAAAGTGTGATTGTTAAAATTGAGTATTTTAGAAGCGATAATTCATAGGCCTGCTATGGTTTTATTGTCTTTACATTCTTACATGTTCTACAGTAATTTCTGCATGCTGAATCCGAAAATGATATCCATTTTCTTTAATACAAACAGATTTTTACAAAATATCATATGTATTTTTACATAAGTGAATCATTTTGATTGAAATCGGGTCACATTTTGTTATGTTTAAAATGTTTACAACCACTGGCTATGGATTTCCCTAGACCAATCGCAACGTGAGAGTCTTATCGATTGTTCTAGAACCCACGAGAAGCACACCACTAGTACATAAACGGTTAAGAGGCCGCATGACGTGTTATTTCTGGATAGTATTTGTTTGTGTGCGCACTTTAACATTATATATATTTTTTCATCGCTATGGTAATAAGAGGTTGTGTAAATGACTCAAGCATATTCTGTTATTTTTGTGGTAAATTTGATCTAAGTAAGAGTTTTTATTCTTCCCGATTTGTAACAAATTCTTAGGTGATAGAAAAAGATGAATATTATTTTCGAAATCTGCATAGCTGAATTATGGAAAATCTGTTATTAAAACCAAGTTTCAGGGCTGGGGAATTTACGACGTTTCAGTATAATATCAGTCATGGTTTTCTATTCTGACTTCTCATGACACCAACAGAGATTTGTAGCTCGGGCCACTAGTGCTAGCGCCTATGCTTCTTGGTTACTGTTATTACTAGATATATCTGTTTTGTTGTTTGGGTAGCTTATTCTTTGTATGAATTTTATCAGTACGTTAGTGATCGCTGTTGCTAGTGTTTTTGACTGTTTCAGAAATTTTCATGCGCGTCTTTGTTATTTTCCATTGGTTGCTTTCGCTGTTTTCAGTTTTGGTAGGAGAGGAGCTTTGTTTTGTGGCTCATTTAAGGGTTCGCGGTTGTATTTTTTTGTTGAACTACTCGCAAAATTACACGAGGGCTATCTATGCTAGTCGTTCCTAAATTTGGAGTGGTAGACTAGAAGGGATGCAACCATTCAACATTACCAACTAGTAAGGGTTGATTGTCACCTTCGTAACGAACCCATGACAACAAAGTGTGGAACGAGATTTTTTTGGTGGTAACGGGGCCCGAGACAAGGAAACTCAGATCCACAGTCTGGTGCGCTAACCACTGGGCTACGCTCGGCCCTTGCACTTGTAAGGCTTACGAATCCTCAGCCCGACTAACTGTTATTTACCACTAGCGATAACATGTTACATTTAGTTAAAATATTTCCTGCAATGATTGACGAATTCTCAAAATTTCCGAGAACATGTTATTTTATACTAGAAGATGAGTTTGGAATTTTCCACAATAATGAAAAAAGGATATCCCGCTTCAACTTTCCCAAAGTTTCAAATAAATAACCACGCCACGAGTTACCTCGTAACAGTGAGAGATAGGCTACTTCTTATATAAATGCGTGCTTACATCATGAAACGTGTTTATGGTTATCAAGCTTAGTTGAAAATTTTCCTCATTGCTTCCTAAAAATAACGTCACCAGATCTCCAAGCTACACTGATGGAAAAAATTGAAAAGTATACAAGGTCTAATGAAATCCCACCATAACAAGTAGAAATCCAAGTCCTCTTTACTATATGTCTACATAGATCATTTTGGAAGTGTGATATCCACTTGTTTATTTACTGGAATATTTTATTAATTTCTCATTTTACTTTGGGCTGGTATCAAACATATTAATAAATTACTTATCTCGACGAAACGATATTCGTCTGTCGTTCTGCTTGATTATCAAGCCTCAAATCCGATAATTTTAGGTACGATCCAGCAAACTCAACAGCGACATCAGACCTGAAGCAGCCTGCCCATGTCCTATCTTGTATTGCCATAGTTACACATTGAACGCCATTTGCCGGATTGGAGTTGGTATAATTTTTTCACGCTTAAAACCACGAAAGAAAAAGGCAGACATAGCATTTTTCAAACCTATAACTCTGTCAAACTGTTCAGTGAGTTAGATTATTACACATAATTTGTAGTCGAACAAATAATAATTTCGCGCAAAGCTACACGAGGGCTATCTGTGCTAGCCGTCCCTAATTTAGCAGTTTAAGACAAGGGGGAAGGCAGCTAGTCATCACCACCCACCGCTAATTCTTGGGCTTCTTCTTTTACCAACGAATAGTGCGATTGACTGTCACATTATAACGTCCCCATGGCTGAAAGGGCGAGCATGTTTGGTGTGACGTGGATTCGAGCCCGCACCCTAACCACCTGGCCATTTCACCAAATTATTCACTCAATATTACAGACAAGGATTTCAAAATATAATATAGAGATCACATTTTGTTGTTGGAATCAACTCTTCATATTAATGCTCTGTTTAGAACAAAACACAAGCCTCCAAGCTTTAATTTTTGCATGTGTTAAATACTACAATAGCTTTGGAGCCAGTTTAAAACAAAATTTAAGGGTGATTTTTTTTCGATAAATTATCCTGTATCTTATAAATGTGTAATATAAAAGTGAGTTTTAATATATGCCACAGTAAATTATCATTACTTTCTCTCATTAAAACAGGATTACTAAAACACCCCAGATGTATCTAGTTTCAGTTGAGTTATAATTGTCAAGTTTAAAATGATAATAACTCTTTCTATAGTTCCTAAATAGCTTATGATTTTGTATAATTGAATTTCACATTATAGGTGTGTGTAATTTCAACAACAAATTGGTGTCAAGACCCATCCACACAAATAAAAATGTTTGGAGGTCAGTTTATTGTATCACAAACAGTTATCTTTCCAGCTTAAAAAAACTGTAAAAACAAGTTTAATATACAATGAAAATAAAAGCCTTTTTCAGCATTACAAAAAGCTTGCTGATTGAAGCTGAAGATCACAGGTTTCTAATCTAGAAACATCTGTGCTTGTAAACTTCTTCAGAACCACAAGTGGTCGTCATTTCTTTCACAAATTCTTCTTTTTCCCTTCAATCTTCCTGATCTTAAGATTTCTAGATATGTAAGACATGAAAAAGAATTTTATAAAACTTATAAACTTTGTTACTTCAAAATTACAGTATACATGTTTATGTGTACAAATAACACCAAATATCAATATAAAGTTACCTCATTAGATACATTACGAGATTAGTGGTGGTAGCAAATACTAAGGCAAGGGGCAAAGTAGATAAATCATCTCTAACTTTGCTTGTAAGCAGTTAAGAATAGTGTACACAATAAAAGCTTTCAGTTACAAAAACAACTACTTTCATACCTAACTCTTAACATGCACACTAGGAGTTTCAAACATCCAGAATTGTTATACAAGTTTCAGGGCTATTACCAGAAATGGTAATTAAATTATTACAAGGTCCCACCTTTTATTATTTGGAAATAAACCTATGTCAAGGATTCACAGGAACTGCCTAATATTTAAAGTTTGTAAATTACATTGGCTCTGCAAAAATATATTGGGACATACTTTCATATTTGTAAACTATACTTTATTACAAATGAAACATCTAAGAATTCTCCCAAATAATACAAATAGCTTGCAAATGAATGCAGTACCTTAGTGTAAGAAATAGTGAAACGAACATTTTTCCAATTAAAGACCTAATATATATATTAAAACATTACCATAGTTTTCAAGAGGATGTGTGCCATACACTGTGGCATAGATTCAGTGAAATTATTCATTGTTAAAGTTTAAGTAAAATGTTAGATTTTGAGGTATTGGCACATCTTATTGTTAGGTGTACTGGGGGGAGAAAACCTTCATTTTTAAACAGCTAAATAAGTAAAATGTTAGGAAGGTTTGTGAAATATCATAAATGATACAAGGATAGGAGAAAAAATAAAGTTGACATACATTGAGGATTACAATGTTTACTTGGACCTTTCCCTCATCTTCCTCCTCTTGCGCTTCAACCTCCTCATACGTTTTTTACGCCACTGTAAAATGTAACTTTTATTTTAAAAGGTTTTACATAAGAAAATAACTAGATCCAAGTAGCTCTATTACCATAGTAACACATTACTGTATTACTTTAAAAGAAGTTACTTGAAATCTAAAATATTTAAAGAGAGCTAAGTTATGACAAAAAAAAGCTACAACATAATATTTAAGACTCGTGGACATTTCCTAAGAGACACAAACAATCTATCCAATGTTATGCATTTTTAGTTACACTAATATAGCTTTACTGTAGTTTGCCATAAAATTGTGAAATACATTTTACTTTGAATTTTTTCATAGGTTAAAATGAATAGAAAAAAAAAAAAATGAGATTGTCAGTAACTTAGAAACCCATATTACTGAACTCTATATGGTTAAAAATACATTCCATGTCAGGGTCAAGCACAGCCAAATGGTGAGCTTGCTGGATTGTATAGCCAAGTGTCTGTGGTTTTCATACCTTTACTGCAAAAAATGAGAAAAGTACACCCTGCACTTCGGGCCATGGATGCATTGTGAGTGAAGGTTAAATACTATTTGGCAAGACAAGAGTAGTCCAAGAATTTGTGATGAGTAAGGTGGACTAGTTATCTTTCACTTCAAAACAGGGGGGGG